AACTGTTCAATAATACTAAATATTTTATGGTATAATATTTGTATAGATCAACTGTTGAATAATACTAAATATTTTATTGTATATCATTTATGTAGATCAACTGTTGAATAATACTAAATATTTTATTGTATATCATTTATATAGATCATCTGTTGAATAATACTAAATATTTTATTATATAACATTTATATAGATCAACTGTTCAATAATACTAAATATTTTATTATATAATATTTATATAGATCAACTGTTCAATAATACTAAATATTTTATTGTATAATATTTATATAGATCAACTGTTCAATAATACTAAATATTTTATTGTATAATATTTATATAGATCAACTGTTCAATAATACTAAATATTTTATTGTATAATATTTATATAGATCAACTGTTGAATAATACTAAATATTTTATTGTATAATATTTATATAGATCAACTATTCAATAATACTAAATATTTTGTTTTATTTTACAGGTAGCAGCATACAAGAACGAAATTGAAGATTGTTCAAGTTGTTTCTTGTTCGTAGGCCGTTAAATTTCACTAATATATAAAACATTTCATTAATAAACTGCTTGTTTCACTAAATACTAAAACTTTCAAAATAATACAGAAATGCTATTATGTAACACATTCATATTGGTAATAACATATTTGCTACAGTACAATTTTTTTGACGTATTTTTATTTTTAATATACATTTCTTTGTAGGCATTTATTGTGTTCGTACTTTTGGTGTCAAAGAATAAAAATGCAATCAAAGTTTTGTGTAGAAATGTTTCATTTAAACGCCACCAGGAAGTAGCGAATCAACGAATAGATTGGGTCCTTACTTCATAATTTCTTGACCTGAGGGTTAGGGTGCTGGACTCGCAATCTGCGTGTTTCGAGTTCTTATACCGTCACCGAACATGCCCACCCTTTCAGCCGTAAGGGACTGTTATAATGTGACAGTTAATTACACTATTCGTATATAAAGTTTTTTTTTTGTAGTGCTCACCACAGGTATCGAAACCCGGTTTCTAGCATTGTAAATCCGCAGACATACTTCTGTGCCACTGGGAGACCGTAGGTAAAGAGTAGTTCAAGAATTTACGATAGGTGGTGTTAGCTAGTTGCCTTTCCATTAGTCTATCACTTCAAAATTATGGACGGCTTGTGTAGGTAGCTCTCGAGTATCTTTGCGCATGTTCCAACAAAGAAACCATCTTTTCTTCACTGAAATTCACGTTTTTGCGAGGAAAAGAAGTTAACAAACAAATAACAAGTAAGTTCACAGAATAATAATGGATAATTAATTGTGTTTGTATGTCGCATGTTATCCAAATATCTAAATAATTTCATGCTATTAGTGGTGAGGCTAAGACTGTGTGTCAAAACCAAACAGACTGCTTAAACTCCACCATTATATGAAGCCTACTTTATGTATTTAAATGTCTTCGTCTACCAAACTGCACTGATGAGCTGTGAATCCAGTGAAACTAGTCTGCTTCAACGGATTAGATCTCTATGACATCTTTTCTCAATGAAATTCTCGTTTTGGTTAATAAAAGAAACTAACAAGTAAATACAAATTATTTCTGTTGACACTCTACAATGTTAACTTTGTTTTCGTACCGTATTTTTGTATTTACAAAAACATTTTACTAATCATGTTAGAGCAAAATATATTATGTATGCAAAACTAAAACTGGCCGGGCGTTCTGTTGTTGAAGACTAAGCCGATTTGCTTCATAATAATTGAAAACTAGTAATGATTTTAATGTTTCACTTGGTAGCCGATAGATGTCGGGAAAAACACAAAACAAAGTAACTTCTGTTCTCGTACTCTAGTAAATTTTATTGAATATTTTTGTTATTTCTGTCAATTCAGAATATTAAAAATGAGTAACCGGAATTTCTTCAGGAATTCATTTAGCAAGACTTATTTTAGGTTTTATAGATGCTTCTAGAATACTTTAAGATATATATAGGTTTAAATATTTGTATATGTATTTATAATGAAGTTTTTCTATCGCACGTGTTGTTGTTTTTAATACGTATATTTATTTCCTAAAACGTTTCTGTTAAGTTGCGTAAATCTTTGTTACAGTGTAAAAGTTCAGGCGGTTATTAAAGAGTAACCTAATATAATATTTAATTGTAACTTTGATGAAACTGGTTGGAAGTAGCGAAGAGGTCTAATCTGATCTTTGATACGTCTACATTTTTGAAATTAGGATTATTAGTTTTGGCAGCCTTTATAAATCAGCGTAAACTGATAAATAAGCTAGGTTCCTCTTATTTTTCCTAATCCGGCATAAAACGCGGATTTTAAAATGGAGAAATAACTTGTATGTATGGAAGGGAATTAGTTACCTTTACAAAATAGGCTTCTTTAATGTTTGAACTTCATATTTTGTTAACGAATGTGAATTTGTTGTTTTGGTCAGCGAACAGCAAGACGTGAGAATAACTAGACACTGTTAGTAACAGGTGAAACGTGGAGTTGGGTGGGAGAAAAGTATGTAAGAGGTGGGGTGTGATACTTTACTAAGCACGGAAAACAAGCACGCTCAATACAATACAAGAAATGCCAACCGAATAAAATATATATTTAAAGACACCGAACTAAGACTAAATGGAATAAACAAATGTGAACTGAAAGAAATTTGAGAAATACTGATTGGCTGGATCGAAGAAGAAGCGCCGATCCCATAAGCAGGAATTTTTTGACTTTTAAAGTTAGGAAATCCCGGGACAAGTAAATGTAATTTAAAAGGCTTCTCCCCCCCTCTAGGTTTCGGGAAATCACAAAGAAGCAAACTCGAGTCACGACAACAATGTACGACTCTAAACTGATTCAAATTCATTTCAATATACAAAGGAAGAGAAATACTTTTGGAAATGGTAAAGCTGAATTAAAGTCACGGTAAATTAAAATAAAATAGGATAAAATGATTATCTACTGTATTGAATCGATTATCAGCTATACTAGACAGATCTGCCGGATAAATCCGATTATTATATATATATAAATATATATATTAGCCTAGTTTGCCAATTAAATTCAATTATTAATTGTAATAGATCCACCCGGCGCCCCCCCCCCCCAGTGGCACAGCGGCATGTCTCCGGACTTACAACGCTAGAAACCGGGTTTCGATACCCGTGGTGGACAGAGCACAGATAGCCCATTGTGTAGCTTTGTGCTTAACTTCAAAAACAAAACAAACCGCCTGGCAGTGGGCCTGGCATTGTCAGGTGGTTAGTGGCGCTGGACTCGTTTTGGAAAGCTTTCGATCAAACAACCTCGAGCATGATTAAGTAAAACAAGTTAATCGAATTTATCCGGCGGATTATTTTATTGTTTTAAACACAGAGACCCCCAGTGGCACAGCGGTATGTCTGCGGACTTGAAACGCTAGAATCCAGGTTTCGATACCCATGGTGGGCAGACCACAGATAGCCCATTGTGTAGCTTTGTGCTTAATTACAAACAAACAAAATAAACACAGAGAGCTATCTGTGGTCTGGCCATTGTGGATATCGAAACCCGATTTTTAGCATTATAAACCCATAGAGTTACCGCTGAACCACCGGCAGATGGGTTTATCGGGCAGCTCTATTCAGAACAGTTGATAATCGTATTTATCCGTCAAACAATCCAGATTTGTTTCTTTGTTTTCAATTTCGCACAATAGCTACACGAGGGCTAACCTTCCCTAATTTAGCAGTGAAAGACTAGATGGAAGGCAGCTAGTCATCAACCACCCACCGCCAATTCTTGGGCTACTCTTTCATCAACGAATAATGCGATTGACCGTCAATTTATAATGCGTTCATCTTAAATTACGCGATGCCCTAATCGACGAGTCAAAAAAACTTAAAAACTTAATACCATTTATACGTATCATTTAATTGGGACGAAGTTGATTACCTCAACGATAAATTTAAATCGAAACCTACAGTTTGTGACTTTAAACTTGTAAAAAAAAATGATTCTCTGACATTTTCTTTGATCATTTATCAAAACAAAGAAATAATAAAATCTTAAGATAATAAATTTCTACTTTTAAGATATCTTTTTGTAGGAGTAACATAGTTTAACGTCAATTTATTTCGAGAATAGCAACCACTCCGTTGCCAGGGAAACCAAATAAGAATATATATACAAGTTTAGCGTTCACATTTAGAATTGTTGCGTTATTGTACCCGAAACTCTTGCAATGTTACTTTAAGGAACGTGTATGGCTCAGCTTTTTTTTTCTTTCACTATTTAGAAAGCTGGAAAATTTATGGTATTTCGAACAAAAAAAACGGTTTACTTTTCAATTTTATATAAAAATTAAGATTCAAAAGTTAAATCAATATCAAGACTCATGACAGTGACTCGTCAATCAGCAGTAAACTCGTGACTATGTGAAGAATGACAAATGTGACTCATCAAGCAGCAAGACTGGTAGAGCAGTAAGGAACTCGTGACTGTATCAAGACTCGCGATAGTGACTCGTCAAGCAGCAGGTAACTTGTGATTGTATCAAGACACGCGATACTGACTCGTCAAGCAGCAGGTAACTTGTGATTGTACCAAGACACGCGATAGTGACTCGTCAAGCAGCAGGTAACTTGTGATTGTACCAAGACACGCGATAGTGACTCGTCAAGCAGCAGGGAACTTGTGATTGTACCAAGACACGCGATA